AATGAATTGTGTAATGTTTGCATACAATTAATAGTTTTTGTTAAAAGTTTATTCACAATTTGTAAACAAAATATATATTGCGTTAAAAAGAGTAGAAATTAACGCTCGCTATACTAAACACTTTGTCCAACTTTCCTGTTCCCACCTTTTTTGTAAAACATGACATTTGGTCTCTCTTTTCCTTTAAACCCAATTTCATTGCAATAACTTTTGATTTATCGTTTATATTCCAACACTTATATATCAATTCTTGCGTTAAATTTTTAGGTAATCTTTGACAGCATTTGTTGGCCAATAATTCAGCGATTTGTTCGTTGTCTGCATAAAGGGGTTCTATGCCTGTCGTGCCCGTAGTTAAGGCCAAAACCACACAATAGCCCAACACTTGATTTTTCTCATTAATGGCCACTAAATTGACGCTTTCGGGACTCTTAGAGATACCTTCGATGTAAACGCTTCTATCAATACCACAAAGATCTTTGTCGTATTCAATCACATCCCGAAGATTGCTCTCATTGATGGACACCAACGATATGCCGTCAATTTTGTCAATTATATCATTATTTGGGTCATACGGTCCTCTGAAGTGTAGGATATGTCTGTCGGGAACACACGTGAAGTTATTGTGATCTCTGTATACCTCAAACATCTTATAACTGAAGGCAAAAAGTCCAATATTCCTGTCCCCCATGTGTGCCATTCCTGTATTCCATAAGTATTTTCCGATTCCGTGTCCCCTATATTCCGGACGAACACAGAATCCGCCAATAAATGCAAAATCATGTGTATTGATAACAGCCGCACAATATCCCAATATTTTCCCTTTAATTGTTAATAAAATTATAAATAATTTGCACAAAATTTCATGAAATTATTATAATAATTACCTGAATCGATGTCTTCGGCCACAAATAAACCGTTTGGATCCGATTTAATCATAACATCGTTCGCGTATTTGTGAATTGAAAACCCAATGGAAGCCCAAAGATCTCTAACTTCTTGGAAATCCTCCGCTCGGATACAACGGATTGTATAATTAGGTTTATTTGTGGTACACATTATTTACTAATTATTATTTAATTAAATAATTGTTTATTGCAAATATACTTTATAAACAAAATATTGAATTAAGCACACATTAAAATAATTGTTGTACCATATACAAATATTGTTTATATACTCTTAACAGCATAATATTATGTATACAGTAAAGTACTTGTACAGTGTAGTGCTTCAGTTATATTTCATGGTCATTTTAACATCAATCATACAGATTAAGACATTTTTACGCTACATTTATAAACAAGGTCTTAATGCAACATGATAAATTAACTTTAATTTCTATTACGAAATTTTGAATTTATTTTACTAAAACACATTTTATCTTAAATCCTATTGAAAATCAAATTATCAACAGAATAACACTAGTTTGATGTTCAAATATAAGTTTTAATGTTGTTTACAATACTGTAAATTAATTTAATATAGAATTCCATTTTTTCCATAAGAACTAGACAAGTATAATTTTATTGTAAACTTTAGTGCACATGTTGAATTGTGTGCATGTACACTAAAATTAAAAATATGTAACATTTTGTGTAACATCAATGATTAACGATTGTAACATAATGTGTAACTGTATGTAACTTTTGTGGTTTATTATGGATAGTATCCCAATTATATTATAAAAATTTATTTACTTGGATATCAATGCTTTATGATATAACAACTTATGATTCGTCAATTATTATACATTATTCCAACAATAAATTGGTATAAAATGATAAATCAGATGAATAGTGTTTTTAAATCACCACATTTCAATGTCTTTCAAACATGTTGGTAATTACGATATCAGTATACAGTTTACAAACATATACCACAAATTATTATACTGTACAATAAATTCTGTAACAAATTTTACTTATCATTTTTTCGTATTCGCCATTCAATATTACCACAAATATAAAATTTAGAAATATATCACAAACTGCAACACATAAATAAATATTCACTTAATGTAAATGAAGAATCAATTTTAATGTAATTTTGGGTAACATTTATATACTTAAAATCTTATTATAATTTAATATAATTATGAGGCAAAGAATAAAGAACTCGATAATCCAAACATTTTATCCATATTTCCAATCATCACTTTCTTAGTGAATGCATTCTTTTCGCGTTTCAATTCAATTAAACCCAATTTGTTTCCTATTTCTTGTGCCGAGTTATTAGTGTCCCAACACTCGTAGTTTACATTTTGAGTTCGGTTTTGTGGCAATTGTTGGCAACATTTGTTGACCAATAATTCAGCGATTTGTTCATTGTCTGCATAAAGGGGTTCAATCATTGTTGCGTTAGAAGTGGTGTTTAATAGGAAACAAAAACCCGAGACTTCGTTCCTATCATTAATTGCAACTAAATTAATAGATTCTCCGTTTTTATAGAGGCCTACAATATAAGCGGCTCTCTCTAAACCAAACACATGTCTATCGTATTGAATGACATCCAGAATATTGTCTTCACTGATCACCGCTAAAGAAATGCCATCTATTCGGTCGATAAGCCCTTTATTTGGTACAAACGATCCTCTCATAAGAACGAGTTGTCTATTGGCGATGTGTTTAAAATTATGTTTGTCTCTATATATGGCAAGCATTTTATCAGATATGGCAAAGAGTCCAATATTCCTGTCCCCCATGTGTGCCATTCCTGTATTCCATAACGACTGTCCGATTCCGTGTCCCCTATATTCCGGACGAACACAATATGCGCCAATATTTGCAAAATCCTCTGAATGATTAACTGCAGCACAATATCCCACAATTAGACCTAGCACATTTTGAGCATTTTATTAATATTTTGTTGATAACATTTGTATGAATACCAGAATCGGTGTCTTCGGCCACAAATATGCCGTTGGGATCCGCTTTTATCATTACTTCATTGGCGTGTTTGTGAGGGAACCACTCAATTGAAGTCCAAAGATCTCTAACCTTTTCAAAATCCGACGAACGGATGCAACGGATTATATAATTGGGTTTATTTATTGAACACATTAATCTACTATTTAATTAATAAAATAAACGTTTGTAAAAATATATTTTATTAACAAAATGTATGATAAAGCTATACATTAAAATATTTTCTGAAACTAAACTCAAATATCATTTTCTTTTAGAATTGAAGGTTGAATTAAGTTTAAAACTATGTAAAACGTGTTGTAATTCTACTATTATCAGTAGTCGCTATTGATATCAATGATAGACTACAACTAAACCATAGAATCGTATGTAAAACTTTTCATTTAGCAGTTAATTGTTCACAAAGTATAAAAGCATGAAAGTTGTTTATTATAGAATTATCATATTTAAAATATAATTGTTATAATATTAAATAAAAATTAATTATTTTCTTTATTACGCCGCATATAATTGCACCTATGAGTGAATTTCACAGAATTTGTATCTCACTAAAACTAACGCACTTATATCCGGATATAGGTGTACTCCTTGTTTAAAAACTCAGATATTAGTGCACTTATATGCGGCGTAATCAGGTAATAGTGTAGTATATTTGATATGATTTTAATTAAAGATGATAAGACGAAGAGCTTAAAGAATAGATTTTATCAGTATTTATGTGGATAATGTTCTTAGAGAAAGCTGTCATTTGTTGACCAACTTCATTTAAACCCAACTTCTTTGCCAATTCAATGGCCCCTTCATTTAGATGCCAACACTTAAGCAATACGTCAGTTGTCTTATGCGGTGGTAAGCGTTGACAGCATTTGTTGGCCAACAACTCAGCGATTTGTTGATTGTCTGCATAGAGGGGCGCAATACCCGTAATACCCGAACACATCTCCACAACAAAACAATAGCCGACCACTTCTTTCCTATCATTAATGGCCACTAAATGGATATTTTCGGGAATCTTATAGAGAGTTGACAAATATATACTTCTGTCTAAACCATCGCAAACTTGTTTGTCGTATTCAATCACATCTCTAATGTTATTCTCATTGACGGACACCAAAGAGATGCCATCGATTGTGTCGATGAGGTCTTTACTTGGATTAAGTTGTCCTCTCATATTAAGTATACGTCGGTCTGGAATACAATTAAAGTTTTGCAAATCCCTATAAATCTCAAACATCTTATAATTGAGGGCAAAGATAGCGATATTCCTGTCCCCCATGTGTGCCATTCCTGTATTCCATAAGTCTTTTCCGATTCCGTGTCCCCTATATTCCGGACGAACACAATATCCGCCAATATATGCCAATTCATTGGACAGATTAACAGCCGCACAATATCCCAACAATTTTCCTTAAATCAATTATTAAATATGGTTTTTAATTATAATATTAAATTATTATTAAATATTTTCCTATAAATACTTGAATCATTGTCTTCGACAACGAATATGCCGTTGGGATCCAATTGAATCCTCACTTCATTGGCGTATTTAATGACTGCAAAATGACATATATTCCAGATTTCTATGATTTCATCGAAATCAGAGGATTGGATGCAACGGATTGTATAATTGATTTTATTATTAGGCATTTCCTTTAATTAACATTTGTTTAAATTAATATTTTTAATTTTAAAAATTTAACAAACAGTTTGCTATTTATATCTAAAATTTTAAGGAGTATAATAAAATTTTATAACACTATTGACAAATTTTCAGATTATGCCTAATACGTATTCTGTCAAGGTTATAAATTCAATAGTATCTCAATCCATATTAACTATCGAGATGTGAATTTATCTCTTTTCAGTTTTATTCACTTTCCCTGTCGTCAGTAAAATAGATTATGGTTTAACATTGAAACTAATTAAATTGCAAAATTGAATTTTTATGGCTTAAACTTTCAATTGACCATATTTTCTATAGAATGCAATTTTTCAAAAATTACTTTTACTAATATTATTAGCATTTAATGTAGTATTATAAAATATAGTTAATAATATGTAAATATAATATTTCTTAATGTCCCATAGGTTAACATGCAAAAGTATCCACTGTTTGTTTACCTGTTGTGTAGAATCCTGCAATTTGATGAAGGTGGTTCTAAGTCATTATTATACTAGGTTAAGTTATTATAGTTAGGCAAGAATTATGACATTTCGTTTATATATCAAAATTTGTATGTTCTAGTGTGATTTCAATAATATTTTCAGATAAAACACTAGACATATGGACAATCATATTACAATTTACAGACGTGATCTAGCTCATTCGGTTCGGGAGATATAACGAAAGCTGAGGCGACAATATATAATGACGGACAAAAATGTAACAAGTCGTTAAAAAATAAAAATATTTCTTTAATTATGGTCATAAAGTTTAGGTTTATTCATATTATAAATTATAGTTGTATTACAATAAAATTACTTAATTATTGCAATTGAATTTAATATTACTTTTGCACGTAAAACATTAAATTAAAAATTGCACTTTGATTCATAATAAAATTAATAGTTTATAGTAAATCTTATAAAATTAATAAATTAAAATATATAAAATCGAGATTATATCATATTTTTCCTTTTTTAGAATTTTATTGCAAATGATCTAAATTTTGATTATTTTCAGATCACATCTCATTTGATTAGTTATAATGAGTTAGTTATTTGTAAATACTATCAAAGACTATATTTCTTCAAATGACTAGTTTGTAGACTATTTCTCTCACTTCTCATTGAATGAGATGTATATCGACGGCGAATACAGCGAAACAATGCCATCGCTATTGCGGTCAATATTACTCCAATCAATATATACACCAACGAAAAGGTGTTGAAATACTTGTACTCATTGTCGGCCATAACGACAATATTCTCGCACTCCTGTTCCCAGTCTTCTGGGATGTGATTACCGACTGATTTAATGAACTCTTCTAAAGTGCAATCGCTTTTGGGATTGCAATTCATTAAATCCAATTCAACAAAGTCTTGGACGGCGGGGGTATAGGCGGTGGCGCTGACCGTAACGTTATTGAAATACAAGAGTTTGACCACAAAATGATCGCCCGATTGATGCAATTCAAAGACCAAAGAGCCGGTATATGTCGGCGGAGTTTTGCCCACTTTGGCGGACGTGTAAACGCCCAGCGCTTGCATTAAGACCACTTGATTCACATCATGTGTGCCGTAA